AGTGGCAGCCACTGGCCAGGTCCTTTCTTGCCAGATTTGCACCAACTCTGCCATAAAGACAAAAGACTTTTGTACCTCTCATCTGCTGGGGGAATAGGTCCTGCTTTTTGAGTTTCTGAAGGGTTTGCCTGAATTCTTCTGGCTGTAGTCAGCGCAGGGAGGGCTGCCCAAGGTGGAAAACATTCCTGTCACAGGCTAACACTGGGTCGGACGGTGAAGAGCTGGTGGTTCGGGAGCGGCGGCTGCACGTTGGCGTCCACAATGGCCTGCGCTTCGTCCAGGCACCGCAGGTCGCTGTGCTGGTGCCAGGGGCAGAACTGTCACCGAGTGGCTGCCACTTCAAAGAGATGGACTCAATACTCACTGCATCTCATCTCAGCATTTCCCATAGCAAAGCAAATCCAAATTCTGTATGTCTGGATATTCAAAACAAAGCCCACACAGAGCACACACATACTAATCCAAGAAGGAAACAAGCTAAAGGCTTCCACAGCAAAAAAAATGCTGGAGACTCCAAGAGAAACAAATGTATGAGTATCACTTACACTTTTCACCCCACCCATAATTCCAGACACTAGAATTACTGTTGTACACTGTGCCTCCCCCTGCCTCAACCACATTGGCAGTACCTAGAATGACGGAATCACAGAATGGTTGGGGTTGGAATGGACCTTAAGCATTATCTTGTTCCACCCCCTACCATGGCACACCTTCTACCAGAGCAGGCTGCTCCAAGCCCTGTCCAACCTGGCCTTGGACACTTCCAGTGTCCACAGTTTCTCTGGGCAACCTGTGCCAGGGTTCCACCACCCTCACAGCACTCTACTTACCTGAAGTAAGCGATCACTGTTCAGTAAATCCAGCAGTTCCTCCTCAAACTCCTCCAGAGAAGGGTACAACTGGATGAAAAGCCGCTCCAGATAGCAGGTGACTGTCTTCATCAGCCGGGGCTTCTGCAAGCAGTCGCCTGAAAGACAAGGTGGTGGCCACAGATTTCCCAGGCAAACACAAAGCCACCACTGCTGTGATGGGGTGCCCTGCAGTGCCAGCAGTGGCTCTGCCAACTCAGCTTCTGAGCACTGGCCTGAGCACCTCCAGGGACTCAGCTGCTTTCAAGACCTTGCTCACCTTCAGTACCAACATTTACTACCCCAAAGCCATCAGGTTTTCCAGGCAGGAAGCTGGAGAATAATTCAGCTGCAGAATTCTGAGGAATTTTTTACCCTCTGAATCTTCAGCTCACATTATTTTAATTGCAGAACCTCAAAGGGCAATATGCCATAGGGAGAGATTAACAAAAGCCGAGCAGGCAAGAGCTCATCCCCCCAAACCTGCCAGGCCCCAGTGATGCTGAACCTGCCTCTGAGAAGTTTAAACAAGCTGCAAAAGCTGTTTCTAAGATTCTGCTGAATGACTGTAATTAAACCAGCCATCACTTATCCCTAGCAGCTTCCCAGGAGTAAAGCAATTAACGGACAGGGAACTGACTGAGCCATTTTGACCGATTCCAGACTGAGCTCTGAGTGTGAGGGCTGTGGCCCCACGCAGGGGAGATGCTCTTGACAAGGGGAGACACTGCAAAGAAACCACTGTGCCCCCACAAATCCCATCCCAGTGCCCTGCCTGCCCTGCCACAGCCTCCCAGGGACCCACTGCCTTAAAGCAGGAACAGCACAGGCAGAGGAAAAGGGAAAGAGCCCTTACCTGTGTCTCCACGTGCCGGCAGCAAGCCAGGAACAGTCTGTAGCCCAGATATCAGCAGGTTTTCAGGAAGGAGGTGAAATATCGCCTCCAGGGGCTGGTGGGACTTCAAGGCATACTGCAGGTAGCTCTTCTCCATCACTGTCATGTATTTGTTCTCTGAAGGAAACATCCCAAAATGAACAAAACTGGGGAGACAGCTTCACAGTCCCAATGTTGAATGAACCATTCATTATCTGTAAACACACATGCTAGGAGCTAAGGAAAACCTATGTTTTCCCAGCCATGCCACTCCCAGCTGGCAGTAAGGCACATCCACTGAGCAGGACCAGGGCACTGACCATGTCTCACATCAAGCAGACACATACAACACACATTTGGGTAAGAGAAGCCACCAAGAAGAACCAAGATGCCACGTCTGGCTGCTCCTTACTTTCCACAGGGTTCTGGAAGCGCGGGTGCAATAGGGCACGTGGTGTCCCATGGTACAGCTTCAGCCTGAAAGCAAGGAGCACATGTGCAGCAGTCAGTAAATCCACCCTGAAGCTCATCTCCATCTTCCATTACATCTCCATCTTCCACAAAGCCCCTGCTCAGCAGCAAAACCCACCCAAACCACTCTGAAAAAGCCCTGTCCTTTAGGGAAGGGACAGGCATTCCTTCCAAAGCCATCACTGCTACCTCAGAGCAAAGAATTCCAGGTTTCTAAATGCTGCCTCTGTTTCTGCAGCTCCAGAACCACCCTTTCTCCCCCCCTCAAAGTAGTCATGCACGTTGCCACATCAATTCCTAGTGTGACCAGGCACACGCAGCAGGGGAACCTACGCTCTGTCCTCAGTGGCTGAGTCTGTCACCTCTGATCCGCTGTGGAAGAGGGGAATGATTCCAAAGCCACAGGAAAGATGCTGAGAGCTCCCATCCCCTTTGCCAGCCATCATTACCACTTCCACGACAGCAGCAATGCCAGGGTGGTTCAAGGAGGTGTGGAAATAAATTACCTGGGACAGGAAAGGAGAGAGATGGGCTATTTCAGAGCTGGCAGCAGCAGCTGCAGGCAGAGCAATGCCTCTTGTACTGGGACACTCAGTGGCACAACCAGAACATCCATTAGCTTCCAGACAGAAGCTAATGGCAAATTACTTCTGGCACTGCTACGAAATCTCAGCCCTTAAGTCTCAAGCATCATCTTTTTGTTTTTTAACTCTCTTTTTGTTGCCAACACCTGTTTTCCAGAATAACTTGCAGGCTGCAGACCCCAAATGAGCAGGGTGTCGCTGAATCCCAGACCTACAGCATTAAAGCACAAAAAAGGAGCTGGAAACCTTCCTGCAGTGGGGAGGGACATGGGAGTAGCCTAGACCTAAGGGCAGGAGGGGACAAGACACAGGTCACCTCACCAGAACAGAATTTATAGCTAGGTTAATCTTTTTATTAAAAACTCATTACCCCAGTGTTTCAAGGAAAACGCTTACTACAATATGGGCTATCAGGAAGGAATAAAAGAGAGAGACATTCCCACATCTACCCCAGGACATAAATCGTTATTCCATTAGCCTTCATTGCAAGGTGCTGGATTAACGACCTGACCACTGTGTCTGCAGAGCAAGGCTCACCCTGCAAAGGCACACGGAGCCCTGACAGGGGATCCCCTGTGGCACTGAGCTCAAGGGCCCCTCCTCAATGTACACAGCAGTTTGTCACTGCATTCTTCTCCCCTAGACCCTGGGGACAAAACCCGCCACACAGACTCTGATCCCTGTCCTCACACCTTCCTGCTCTGGTGAGGCTGGCAAGCAAGCACACAGCACACACAGGCAGGGGAGCAGTGACTTTCCACCTTCCCTCACCTGTCACAAATCAATTCCAGCTCCACCCGAACTGTTCCTAACAATGAGCTGCTGATTCTCCCACACCTGGAAGATCCCACCCTACATGCAGATCACCCCTCTGTCAGACCCTGAGCCCTGCAGCTGCAGGGACAGGCAATGCAATTCAGCCACCACACAGAGGCTGCAACACAGCCCCCCAACACCCCAAAACTCCTGCCAACTGCTCCCAACCATATGGCAAACACCCAGGAATCCTGCAGACTGTGGGAATGTATTTGGAAAGGCAGCTCCTCCCAGCATTCAGCTCTCTCTGCAGCACTCTCTGCCCTAGTTTTAATCCATCCCTCTTCAAAACAAGCCAGGGTGGGACGGTACTGAAACACTTAGGAGAGAAATACACACATCAACGCCCCTCAATGTCACTGTCAATACAAAGGAAGGAAGAGCCCGGGGCCGAGCTGTGCTTCACTTCACTTGCAGCACTGAGGACGTGGAAACAGGAGCTATGAATTGGGAAACATGGGTCATGCTATGGGGCAGCAGGAATCTCCCCACTAAGGGACAGCCTGGTTTGCTGGTATCGGCAGCGGATGGAAACATGGCTTTGGGAGAGTTTAGTCCCCAGATAAGCAGAGAGAAGCGCTGTGCAGGAGGGTGGGCAGTTGCTCCTTCCCTTCTTTCCCACTTGTGGGGAAACACTGCTCTCTGCCGCCAGCTCCGAACACAGCAGGTGGCAGGTGGTGGCACATCGCTGCTCCCACGGTGGCACCAGCCTCAAAGGAAACCCAGCACCCCAGTTTCTCCAATAAACCATACATAAAGCTTAATAAACGGGCAGTGTCTGGGATGCACCCTGGGGAAAAAGTCAGGAAGCACTGGGATGGAAAAGTGATGGGCGTTTTCCCAGACCCTTGGCAGCCCTCACCTCACTGAACGTCGCCCTGGCCGAGCGTGGCGGGGCAGCGCTGGCAACTCGCCAGCTGCTCCTCCACGTCCTCCCAAAGAAGTGGTGGTAGGTGGCATCGAAAAGGGAGAGGCGCAGCTGGTACTCGGCTCCCTGCAAGGCACAAAGCACTGGCTTTGGGGATGCTCGGGGACAGGTCAGCTCTGCGTCCCCAAAGCTCAGGATACACTTTAGTATGATATATAATTCCTGTTTTCTAAGGGATGCCCAAATCAGGCACATGGTCACAGACAGCTTCATGCATTGCTGCAGGACCTGCTGCCAAGCCAGAGGCTGACAGAGCAAAGGAAAAGTGGGAAAATTGAGCATTAAGCATAGAATAAAGAAGCAGTTGATGTTAAAGTGCTATCCAGAAAATTCAATTTAAATATACTTACCTAAACTAACAAAAAGCTAAATGAAAAATTAATTCAACTCAGATTTACAGATAATAAGGCATGGGATTGAAACAACTTTGTGGTTCCAGGAGATTTCCAGTTAGTTCTCCCCAAAACCACCTTGTTTTAAAAGCCACCATTGGGAGCTCAGGCCCACACACATGGACAGGAATGCTGAAAGAGGCTTAGAAAAAGATGGGGAGTGACTTTGTACACTCACAGAAAGTGACAGAAAAAGCAGGAGGGGAGGCTAAACTGAAAGAGGAGCAATTTAGGTTTGCTCTTAGGGAGAAATTCTTTCTTGTTAGGGTGGTGATGCACTGGCACAGGTCATCTAGAGAAACTGCGGCTGCTCCATCCCTGGAAGCGTTCAAAGCCAGCAGGTTGGAAAGGGCAACCTGGGCTAGTGGAAGGTAGCCCATGGCAGGAGGGTGGAAGGAGATGATCTGTAAGGTCCCTTCCAACCCAAACTATTTCATGATTCTATGAATAGTGAGACTCAGCAGAAACAACAGGTGCAGCAAGACATTGCCGGGTCCCCTCGCGGGGCCGATCGCCCCTACCTGGGAGAGGGCAGCGCCGTGCAGGTACTTGAGGACGCAGCGGAAGGCGGTGGAGCGGG